AACCCCTTAACATAAGAGATTCCTACTCAAATACACGCATCCATTAAATAAGCTATATATAGAGATGACAGAGCATAATAAATGTAAGGAATCTGTGGAGAGCCATGCTCAGATATGTTCTGAAAGGAAATAACATTTAAATAAAATAGTAATAAAGTTTATCAAGAAATACGGTACGAATCACGTCTGCCGAAGCGCGCCTTGCTAATACTTCGTCATTTCACTTTGCAATATATGTATAAAGGCGTTTCTTGATATCTGCTGTTTATTATTGGATTTATTTTTGGTTTTTCTATAATAATTTATATATCTTCAAATGATTTCTGAGTTTTTCTTTTCTTCTTTAGCATAAATTGTTCCTTATTTTCTGAACAGTGTAAGGATGGCTTAAACGTAAAAGTATTTGCGAAGTGTCGTTCAGTATAGAAGAGAGACAAAAATATTTCACACAAAAATGAAACGGATTTTAAACTTAGAAATAAATGCAGCACGTTCGTTTAGATAGGATTAAACAATTTCTGTATTATATTTAATGAATAAAGAAAAAAACAAAACTTATATAAACTGACGCATTTCGTCCTCTGGGGGACTTTATTAAGGCAAATCAACTCGAAAAACGTCGGCTAAGGTAAGTTTTTCATTTGTTTTTATTCATATTGTCATTTTACAGATACAATCTATCTGAAATTTTACACGTTATATTTAATCTTTTGCATAGATTTTCTTTTTTAAAAAACACACACACACACACACACACACACATATATATATATATATATATATATATATATATATATATATATATATATATATAATAGTGGTAAATATACATACGTATGCACAATATATAAATACACATACATGTATATTTTTAGAATAAAAAAATTCCAAGAGGAAGAATCCAGGTAGAACTCAATGTCCAGGACAGAACATATAATTGTCTATGGTGTGTGTAAAAAAATACGAAATGTATCTTTATACATCCGACAACATTCATTTTTTTTTTGAATCACTTAAACCCCTTCCATCCACCTCTCCTAATATTCCCTCTGTTAAGGTTTTAATCTCCTCCCCTCATACTTACAATCTCTCTAAATTCTGTTTTTATTTCCGGAAATATTTTTTTTAATTTTCCTTTTGAATTTTATAGGTCTGATGAATTGATCGTATTTACGATTCCAATGGAATAAATTATGACCATGGAATATTAGTGTTTAAGCCTTTTATTTATATATATATATATATATATATATATATATATATATATATATTAATTAAAAAAAGAACGTCTCGGATATGTTATTTAAACGTTTTAAAATTGCTTCATTTAGTTGTTAAATAGCAGTCAAGCTGTTCTCCCCAGACCCTTTTTAAATATCCGTAACTACTAGAATAATAATAAACACTCGTCCTGAAAAAATATACACACTGTAGCAGATAAATAATAACCACATGTCGAGGGTTGTCGTTATACGCCCTTCACACGAGGAGGGACGCCAATAGAAATCACTGGATGCTATGTTTCAACGCGGGCAGGCCAGTATGATCATATATGTGTACACACAACGATACTTGAAAATACATTTAGTCAAATAGATTGTGGAACTATCAAACGTCTCCTTTTCAGCCGGTTATGACCAACAGCCAGCCATTTTTTTTTCTCTTGTACTGTCAAAATTCTTTCTTTAACAGCAGTGCAGAAGTCAGAGCAATTCACAGGGAATAAAGTAAAGGGATTTGGAGAGATCCATGATTGTCCTGAAGTAAATAAAATGCTATGTTCAAGAATAAGAATTGAACCAACGATGAAAAGTGATATGGTGGACAAGCATTCTTCTATGTGTCTTGTCTCTTAGTACGTAGGCGATCATGGCTCTCCACAATTTCTTTTCTTTCATAGCTATTAATAAAATTTATGTTTTTGTTATCTCCCAAGAACATGATTCCGCCATCCATTTGCTCAAGCTCAATATGTAAATTATGCTTTGTTTTCATCTGTCCCTCTTGCCGTCAATCTGTCCTGTGTGAATCAAATTTTCCAAGCGCTCTTTCCACATTATGTGTCCTAGAATGTTCAACATTCTCTTCTCGATTTTTTTGCTTCATTTTCTCTAAAGCTTCGTCGGTGCTCACATGTTCGGTCCATGATATTCTCAGCATCCTTCTGTAGAATCACATTTCTGTCGATTCAAATCTCTACATCTGAGAGATGATAATTCAGATGACAATTCAGCATTCACTGCCATATAGGAGGATTGGTATTACGTAACAGATTAGTTATCTTTTCTTTGTTTCTAACGAAATACTTCTCAATACTTTGCTTAAAAAATGCTATTATTGCTGAAAAAGTAGTTGACTAAAAAGAACTTGCAGGAACAATGATATGTAAAGGAAATAAAAAAAAAAATTATAAATTAAATTAGTAAATCAGAAAAAAAATAATACTGATGAATACTGTATATACTCCTGTATAAGGCGACTTTAGATACCATGTTGTCCGAGAGTCATGTCACGGCTAGTTAATAAAATTTTCTATTTCAGATGGCTGACACAAGCATTTTGAAAGAGAGGTAGTCGGTGACAAAACTTTCGGACCACCCTGTAAAATTACAAAGACGTATTTAAAATTGAATTACAAACAACAAGTCTTTATGATAAAATGACCAATACATTTTATCTGTAGTTGAATGTATATACCGTAATTCCCCATGTATACAACGCTTTCATCCATGATATGCAACCTTAAATTGTGGGAAAATGCTTCTACTCACGCATAATATGCACTCCTTGTATGGTAATCAAACAAAATAAATTATACCTCTCCAATTTCATTACAGCCAGTTTTTCCTACTCTTATTAAAAATGGTTTTAAACATAAAATGATATTATTTTAATCTAGCTTTATGATAATTCTTATTTTATTTTACATTTGAAAGTATTGTCAGTTACATATGATTGTATTTGAAACCCTTATAGCGTCGCAATCGCTGAATGTTACTGTCAGATTGTAGTATATTTGTGGTGAGTAATCATTTCACAACTGAAATCGACCTATGAAACTGCAATTTTCTAAAGATTTTTTGTAGCCGTGCATAATACGCACCCCTATTTTTTAAAGGAAAAAAATGCGTATTATACATTGGGAATTACGGTAGTTGTGCTCCAAATATATTTAGTTGAAGCCATAAAATTGTGTATAAATATATTTATATTTCGATATTAAACAACCCATAGAGGTGTTGATATGCCGCTAGACAAAAGCAACATAAACATCTCCCAGATAACATTCGTTTCATTGAAGTTGAATTTCTTATTGCATCTATTTTAACTAAAAAAATATAAATTTCTAATTTTACTTGAAATTTATAAAATTTACCAACTCACTACGAATCTTCCATATTTCATTTTTATCCGACTACCATTATTACAGAAGAGATTGGCTATATCATTCCATTTTATCAAATTCTTTTTCAATTTGGAAAATAAAATAAAAAAGTAACCATATTACGTAGGACGGGAAGCGTATCTGTCGGAAGAATAATCACCTTTCTCTACAGCCCCTTTTTAAATAAAGTTTTGAGAAAAAGACGGTCTTAACTTAAAGAGAAATAAATCAAAAGCAATATTGAAGTATTGCCCTGACAGGAAAATCTTAATCGCTCTTAGTTGCTATATTGATATATCGAGCCTTTTGGGGAGATTTTGAGAAAACAGGACCAGGGAAGAATGAATTACAAAGTATAAATTTAAAAATAATTTATATTATGAGATAAAAATAAAGAGAGAGAACAAGGACAGAAAGTGTTTGATAACAACCGTATGGAGTTGTATAGAACAGCAGATTGTTAATCCTGTTTGAGGAGAAAAATACATTTTTAGATGATGCCATCTTAAGTCTGTGAAACTGTTCTTAAAAAAAATATGCGTATCTCAGACAAACGAATAAATTCAACTTCGAAAATATGAAGAGAATCATTACTAATCAAATTAAAAAAAGAAAACACGAAATATCAATTTACAGAGATTTATAAATTATCATAAAAAAAATATAAAGATCACATCTGACATTTTATACCTTGTTAACTTTTTCGAGTAAAACGTTTTTTTTATCAAGAATGCCGAAATAAATTTAATTAAACGAAATTATAATTTTGATTAAAGATGGCGATATTTTTTTGGTATTTCGCATTTTGTAGTTATTTTGCAAGATATTACCGATCTTTCAAGTGATGTTTTCGCTCCGTCAATTCTGTGCTTGAAGATATTTAGTAAATTTAGCTAAGTCTGATACAAGGTTCAGTAAGCTGCAAGGATGATGTGAAGTTTCTTTTACAATTGAGATCGGTGTGATGAGCAATTCAATATACGAAATCCTTGCTTTTTCAATACCTATTATTAATCATTAATCTTCGCCATGAACCTCACAGAGTCAGATGGGATGAAAAAATAAATTTGGGAAGACTGCGTTCCGCCAAAGTTCGTAGAAAAAAAAATAAAATCCAGAAATTTTATGGCTTCGAAGATCGCACCGTGATAATTACATTATTATTTTAAGACTGTATTATTCTTACGATGAAACCATGTTCATAAGGTTTGTAGGCGTTATTCTGATCAATCAATTAAATATGACCTACGTTAAATTTAAACGAAACGAAGAAGAAAAAATGTAAAAAAAATATATTATTTATAAATGGGTCATATATAAATTGGCAGCTAACGACAGCCAGATTTCGGATACATAAAATGTAAAATGTCAAAAATTTTGTATTAATCTGGTGGTATTACTAACATCTTGTACAGATATATTGGTATTTGTTTAGTATTTTTAACATCTTACATTTCTTGGTTATTGTTATTAATATCTTATATAACGTATCTTTATTCAAAAGTTGCATATTAATTTACCAAATAATACTATACGTTTAAATTATTTACTAGTTTCTTAAAGAAGCTATTTATTTATCAACTATAAAAAAATTATGTAGGAAACTCACAAAGCA